CCCCCCAACCCCGCGCGCGCGCGCCTGCCCTCCGTGCGCCCGGGGCCATTGCTCGCCCACGCCGTCCCTGACACGCCCGCCGCACAGACTCCAAACGACTCCTAGCCCGGGTTATGCCCCACACACTCCGCTCGCACGGCCCACGACCCCACACCGACCCACGCACACACGGAAACCCAAGTACACGCAGCCTCTCACGCAACCCGGCTACCTCACTCACACCACTGCAAATTCCTACGTACTGCCCACACATACCACACCCCACCCACACACGCTCCCAGAGCAGTACTAGGCCCCACGAGGCTCTGCAGAACTCAGCTCTCCACCTGGCAATGTGCGTGTGAAAACACTATTCTGGTAGTGGCCTCCCTCGAAAGGGGAGACTGAGGGGCGGCCTCCCGGGAAGCTGGGTGCTGGGGGAAAGTATGTTCACTTTGGGAAAGTTCTTTGTTGTAGGCTTGAGATTTGATCACTTTTCTGTTTGTGTGTTATACTTTAGTAAGTATAACCGAATCATTATTCTGAGAAAGGGTCCGTAGCCTGGCCAGACTGCCAAAGGGGCTCATGGCTCCCCATCACCCTCGAGGTTGCAGACACTCCCTCGTGTAAGCTCACACCTTCTCACCGAACTCATACACGCACGCACGCACGCACACAGACCCAGAGCAATGTGAACCATCTCCTCCCTTTGACTCAGCACCCACAAGACACCTACTGTGCGCCAAGCACTGTGCTTGGCACAGCAAGAGACAACACTGAATGAGTCGCATACCCTGGCCCCTGTAAGGCAGAGGGTCAAAACAGAAGGCCCTGGGGCCTCATAGCTAACTAACATGACCCAGTCAGGGTGGGAGTCAGCAAAGACCCTCACTGGCAAGATCATGCTCCATCCCCATGTTTGATTGTGGATTAAACTGTTGTGATCCATAGGGTTTTCATAGGTTTATTTTTAGAAGAAGATTGTCAGGCCTTTCTCCCTAGTTCATCTTAGTCTGGAAGCTCTGCTGAAACCTGTTCAGCATCATAGCAATACACAAGCCTCCTCTGACAGACGAATGGTGGCTGCTCTTGAGGTGCACTGGCTGGGAACCAAACTCAGGTCTCTTTCATGGAAGGTGAGAATTCTTTCACTGAACCACCACTGCCTCATATGGCAGAAAGGTATTGTGCACATTTCTGAGGGAGGGATGCTCGAAAATGAAGAAGGACACACCAACGCTGAGCCAATCAGAGCATTCTCTTGCTGGTCACAATGATTGGTTCCAGAATGGGCATATGACTCAAGGCAGACCTATGAGACTCAAGCCCAGGACATTTGCAGAAACCACAGAAAAAGAGAAGCTTCTCTTCCTATCTGGTTGCTGAGTTAGTGGAACACACATCTGGAGAGGCTCCACACTGGGAGAACCAGCCTGAGAATGAAGCCAACCCAGAGTGGGGCAGAGATACGAGAAAAGATAGACTCCAGCTCATGTTGTTTGAGTACCTTGAACCAGCCTTGCCTGAAGCTCTCACTTGGAATTTTTGGTACACAAGCCAATACATTAGTTGGAACTATACTGATAGAAAACTCAATTCAAATGGGATTAAATAATTGGAATTGATTGACTCACTTAACTAAAATCCCCAGAGCTAGGGCTTCAATTTTATTCATAAAGTTTTCACTAGCCAATTTTTTCAGAAGTAGACTGCCAGGTCCTTCTTCCTAGTCTATCTTAGTCTGGAAGCTCAGCAGAAACCTGTCCACCAAAAATGACCCCGCTGGTATTTGAAATACCGGTGATAAAGCTTCCAGTATCACAGCAACACACAAGCCACCACAGTACAACAAACTGACAGACACATGGTGATACTGAAGGAAGAGGTCCAAGCTACACTGAAGGCACTGCTGAAAAACAAGGCTCCAGGAATTGACAAAATACTAATTGAGACATTTCAACAAACAGATGAAGGGCTGGAAGAGCTCACTCGTCTATACTGAGAAATTTGGAAGACAGCTACCTGGCCAACCGACTAGAAGAGATCCATATTTGTACCCATTCCAAAGAAAGGAGATCCAACAGAATGCAGAAATTATCAAACAATATCATTAATATCACACACAAGTAAAATTTTGCTGAAGATCATTCAAAAGCAGCTGCAACAGGACATCAACAGGGAACTGCTAGAAATTCAAGCTGGATTCAGAAGAGGACATGGAATGAGGGATATTATTGCTGATATCAGATGGATCTTGTCTGAAAGCAGAGAATACCTGAAAGATGTTTACTTGTGTTTTATTGACTATGCAAAGGCATTCAACTGTGTGAATCATAACAAATTATGGATAACGTTTCAAAGAATGAGAATTCCAGAACACTTAATTGTGCTCATGAGGAAACAGTAGTTAGACCAAGAAGCAGTTGTTCGAACATAACAAGGGTATACTGTGTGGTTTAAAGTGAGGGAAGGTGTGTATCAGGGTTGTATTCTTTCACCATTCTTATTCAGTCTGTATGCTGAGTAAACAATCCAAGAAGCTGGACTATATGAAGAAGAACAGGGCATCAGGATTGGAGGAATACAAATTAACAACCTCCGTTACGCAGACAACACAACCTTGCTTGCTGAAAGTGAAGAGGACTTGAAGCACTTACTAATGAAGATCAACGACTACAGCCTTCAGTATGGATTACACTTCAACATAAAGAAAACAAAAATCCTCACAGCTGGACCAATAGCAACATCATGATAAACAGAGAAAAGGTTGAAGATGTCAAGGATTTCGTTTTACTTGGATCCGCAATCAACACCCATGGAAGCGGCAGTCAAGAAATCAAAAGATATATTGCACTGGGCAAATGTGCAAAAGATCTCTTTAAAGTGTTGAAAAGCAAAGATACAACTTTAAGGATTCAGGTGCACCTGACCCAAGCCATGGTGTTTTCAATTACCTCATATGCACGTGAAAGCTGGACAATGAATAAGGAAGACCGAAGAAGAATTGATGCCTTTGAAATATGGTGTTGGTGAAGAATATTGAATATATCATGGACGGTCAGAAGGAACAAATCTGTCTTGGAAGAAGTACAGCCAGAATGCTTCTAACAAGTGAGGATGGCGAGACTTTGTCTCACATACTTTGGACCTGTTGTCAGGAAGGATCCATCCCTGGAGAAGGATATTATGCTTGGTAGAGGGTCAGCGAAAAAGAGGAAGACCCTCAATGAGATGGATTGACAAAGTGGCTGCAACAATGGGCTCAAACATAGCAACGATTGTGAGGATGTGCAGGACCGGGCAGTGTTTCGTTCTGTTGTACATAGGATCGTTATGAGTTGGAATTGACTGGAGGGCACCTAACAGCATAACAACAAGGGCTTCAAGTGT